TTTTTCTAAAAAAAGAATTCAAATCAGCGAATGATTATCGCTTCTAAAACTCTCTAAACAAAAAAGGATAACGAAGCATAGTACCAATGCCAACTAATTTCTTTCTTGCGCTAACAATAATTATCTTTAGTTGATCAATAAATCTCAGGTCTCAAGATAATTTATCTTATCCATTTTTAGTAATAATAAATAATTTAATCTTGACATAATTATTTTTCATGGAACCAATTGAGGATTTTATTCTCTTTTATGTCAATTATTGAATATATGCTTGAAAATACTTCTGTCTGCCTACTTTGCTTGTCACCACAGGACCAATTTCAATACTATACCACCAAAAGATATGGAAGAAATAAATAGTTCTTTGTTATTAAAAGAATTATACGACATGGGATTTCGGGATGAACCTATAGTAGATTTTATGGAAAGTTATAATAAACGCGGAGAAGATTATAAAAGAAAACAGGCTCAAAAGGATATTTCTGATGAAGCAAGATTTCTTAACCCAATAGCAGAGAGAAAATTTAAACTTGCAAATTGTATCAGACAAAGTGCTTTTGCCGAAGAGAAAAGGTTACAAGACCCTGAAAATATTGATGAATACATCAATGATGAATTATCCGCTTTGTATGGGCGAAATATGAGTTTAGGAGGTGTACATAGAAACCCTTCAAAAAGATGCTCCCCAAAAAAGCCTGTTAAGAAGCCAGGCAAGGGTAAGCGCAAGAAGAAACGTGTAGGTGCTATTAATACCGTTGATTATAGATATTATTATCAAGATGATTCAGAAGATGATGATTCAGAAGTTTATTCGGAAGATTCTAATACTGAAAGTGAGGAAGAAGATGAAACCAATTATGGTCTTATTGGTGGCGTTAAAAAAAAAAAAAAGAAATCTAAAGCACGCAATATAAAAAAACGCCCAAAAATTACCATTGTAACTAGAGAAATCTTCAATACAGCCTTAAAAATGATGGTTGAATATTTTACTAAATCATATAATCAAGATGTTCTAAGGGATGGTTTGAATTTGCTTAATTTGAAATATTTAGAGATGAAAGATATACTTATTTCGCAATATGCCAATGGCTTTTCTTCCAAAGAGCAATAAAAAATTTGGAATAACGTTACAAAGGATTTTAATGAAATCTTACAACCATGTATTGATACCACTTTTTCATCAAATCAACCTAGCATTGTAAGGCAAGAAACGGCTGATATGCAGATACCACCTCCAGAAACATTAACGCAACAAATGCAACCATTGCCAACAGAGACATATAATCCGGAATGGATAAACCCTATGCAAATTGGCTTAATTAAACGTCTTCCACCCAATGATGTATCAACTATCCCATGCGAAATTGTTCTACCTAATGGCGAATTATTTTATAATCCAGAAGCGTGGTCTGATACATGTGCATCCCGAAATATTATCTCTAAGGGTCTCAGAAAAAAGCTTGGGCTAAATAGTGATTACCACTACTACTAATACTATTAATATTACTACTGCTATTTAACCCATTGTTAATATTGTTATGCAATGACCCACCAGACCAAGAATTTGCTTTGCTACGAGTGTTAGAACTAATTAATTGCTTATTTTGTGCATTAGTTTTTTTTTCTTTTTTGGCGGCATTACGAATGAATGAATATTTTTTATTATTATTGAGAATGGAATTTGATTGGCTCAAGCTGGCTAAGCCGTTTAAAAATTTCTTAGCCGGCTAAGCCGATAAATTTCTTAGCCGGCTAACATCACTAGTTTTACTGCTAAAGTTCTCAATGATTGAGTAGGATTCCTTCAAATAAACTGACCAAGTACACTTACTGCGGTTGGTGTAATTTTCTTTTTTCTTCCGTTTCCTTTTTTTCTATGAGCTAAAGTACCTGTTTCTTTCATTTTTTTAATATTATATTTGATAGTAGTGAGTGGAATGTTAGTTAATTCATGAATTTCTTGTGCATTGCATACACCTTCGTTCAGAAAATGTAATATAGTTTGACGATGTGTTTCTAAATTTGATGATGTCATTGTTTTAAGCTTTAAATAGATATAAGAACAAATATTAGCAACAAAAAAATATATTAGATGAAGGAGAAAAGGGAATGATTTTATATATAATATTATTATACACGTTTGTTTACATGAATAAAAAGTTATCGTGTTTCAGATCACGTCTAAATTTGGCCAATTTTTTTTGTAACACACTGTATATACTATAATTTTCAAAAATGAGCCAGAAAAACAGGTTATTTAAAGTGCAATTTCAAAAATGCTTCTCAAATTCGACAAAAACAATAAATATTACTCAGTTTTTTACTAGAGATTGTCACCGTGCAAATATTCTTTTAACGGGATAATTAACCATGAAAATTAAGTGTTAACCGTATAATTCTAATGGATGTGATAGATCCTTGAGTGAGTGAAATGTTCACTAAGTCATATGAGAATCATGGGTAAAGGTTCACATATGGGACATGCTGTAACAAAAGTGAACATTTGTACTACAAGTATTTCAGGTTCAAAGTTTAATCATTATTATAATAATAAGATATTGTTTGTGAAAATTGTCTAAAGACAGAAAATGGAGTTTAAAAGCAACACAATTATTGAAAGTGTGGGGGAAAACTGCTTCTAGGAAAATTGGAACAAAATTCAATATGCAACATTTGATTATCGGAGATTTACAGATGTTGAAGTATGCTATTTTAAAACATTGCATCATTCTCATCTTTTTCTCGTCTATATAAGCCGATGATACAATGATGTAACTGAGTTCCATGGGGCCGCGTTGCTCTGGGATTTATCGAAACTGCATCGCCGTTAAAGAGAGTGTTAAAGTCTCTCGCTTGTCTGAAGCCTTCCCAATACGACGGTGACCCTCGCCTGTAGAAATTATTATATATTTATGAGGGCGTGTGATAACACATAACTGCATGTTTGTGAAAGGAAAGATTTTATCAAATCTGATACCCGTGATCAGCGTTGATGTTGGACTATCATGCTGACAATAATCCACACGTAATATTAAGTGTAGGAAGTGACAAAGTTATACATTATAAAGTTTTGTTCCTTCGTAATACAAAGTCACATAAAATTATGCTTGCTATTTTGTATATTGAAACAGATTTTGTCAATTTTAATCTAACTTTGATCAATCGTTGTAGACGTTCAACAAAATCATTTATAGTTGGATAAACACAAACTTCTTCATTATTATAATTTGGGTAGAATAGAATTAGCAAATAGTCTTTGTAATAATAAATTATTGACATCTTTACATATATCATGGTATCCAATTTGTTTTTAAAATCCTACTATCTCAGGATAAATTAATACTGCTTTCAAATCCACTCTTGGCTGGATATTCTTTATGGTTAAGTATTCGCATTTTTATTTGGTGATGAATTGAGTCTTCGAATTGGACTGTTGATCTTCATCAGGAAAATAAATCTTACATAAACCTACGTAGGGTTCAGAATTGGCCAGCATTATGTCGATATTTTGGTAATTCTGTTAACATTTCCGCATAATGCTGGTCAGTTTTAAACCCTACGTAGGTTTACATGAGATTTATTTTCCTGATGTTGGAGGAAAAGGTACAAATCTTTTATTTAATATAAGTTCCTTTGTTTTTTTCTTTTAATTTTTTTAGAGCCAAGTTTATGGCTAATGGATCGACCTCCTCCAAACAAACGAATTGTTCAATGGAAGATCTACAACACACTATTCTTTAACTTCTTTTATCCAAGACTACAAATACCGCTGCTGGAATATTTGAAGTCCAAGAATTCTATTATGGATATTTCTTGAAATGTGTCGTTATTATTATTATTATCAATGTTGTCGTTGACTTCATTTTGTAATTCTAGTTCAATTATCCGTTTTTCTAAACAAGATATCTAAATAAAATTACATTTCTTTGATAAGATCAACTAATTAAAATTATGATTGCATAATAATAAAACTACTGCACGGAATTCAAATCCGCGTATTACAAAAGTGTTTAATTGATTGAGGAATAACCCTTATTATTCATATATCTCGCCAATAAGATATATAGTTTCATTATCAATGGCAAAAGTTTTTGATAGCATCTTTTAAGCTATTATAATGAATACTGTGTCTATTATAGCTCTCTAAACTTAATTTTTCTTCGAAGAAGATTGTAATAATCAAAGAAAACGTCATTTGAAACGTTTGCATCGATCTCTGAGATAATTTGGTTATCGCAATAGTTGTACGGAAATGATCGATTTCTTAAATGTGCAATGGAATTAATGCAATGTTCATTTGCAATGCTCCCAAAAATCTTTGTCGTTGAGGAAAGAGCAAATCTCCTGTATTTTTGTATATACTACCTTTAACATTAAAAATATAAGATTTGTTGCGAAACCTTGACTAAAATTAAGATTTACTATTACTATTTGATTTTATTATAGTAAAAAAAAATTAGATGATGTTGCGTTGCCTTATTTTAAATGAATTACTATCAGAATGCGTAGATTTTTTATCTAAACTAGTGGATGAAATAAATTACTAGGAACTATATGATTGTATTTTTTTTTTTTTTGAAAAAACTTTATTATGAATCATAAATTAAAATTACATTATTAAGGGCATAAATATTTTTTTAAAATTATTAACTAACAAGATGAAATTATAAAAGAATATTTTCCATTTAAAAAAAAAAAATAATATTTTACTTAAAAAGGAAACATTGAAAAGAGATTGTACAACCGAATCGTATATAATATTAATATTAATATTAGTATGTTTTCATGTAACGCATAACTTGGAATATCTGATCGTATATAGTTTTTTTGTATTTGATTTTAAAAATTATGTTCAAACAAAAAAAAATTATGGAAATAATAATAAAGAAAAAAGAAGAATACGAGTCAAAATTAATTTAATTGCTTTGTTTTTTTTTTATAATTATAAATAATAAAAATAATAAGCAAATAGCTACTAAATTAACTATCATTATCATTATTGCTTTTGCTTCCGTGGTTGTTGCTGCCGTGATTGTTGACACCGTTAAAATTTCAACAACAGCCATAAAAAACAATCTTTTGTCATGTCTATCCAAATTATCACCATTTGGATCCGGTTCAGGTATATTACTATTATTATTATTATTATTGATAATGTTTTGGTGAACATGATAATGACCAGAATAAGTCTCGCTAGGAATGATAGGAACACTCGATTGTTCGTTAGAAGGAACATTATTTTGATAGTTCATTGTGTTTTTATTTTTGTTATATTAACATACGCGTATATAGAAGCAACAACGATCTCCGGATAAATTATAAGAAAAATAATTTATTTAATCAAAACAGAAAAGAGAAAATGAAAATTAGGAAGAAAATAATTTATTTCAGAAAAGGAAAGAAAAAGAGAAAATGGGGAATGGAGGAGGAAAAGTGCTGTTTTATTTAAAAAAAAATATTCGTGTAACCAATAAACCTTTTAGGAAAGAAATAGCAGAATCACGTGATCAGGTGATATATGTTTATTATTATTAGTATTCTTTGGCTTGTCATAACTGAGTGGTAACTGAGTCAACGTTGTACCTTGATAAAATTGATGATGATATTGTTGATACTTTTTTCTTACACAAAAAAAAAATAAATAATTATTATTTACGCAAAAATTTTTTATTAAATGGATTAAATGGGAAAAATTATTATATTAACATACGCAACAACTATCTCCGGATAAATAATAAACAGAAAAGAGGAGCGCGGTTTTTTTTGTACAAACCTATTACAGGAAAAGAACGTTTAAATCACGTGATCGTGTTCATCAGGTGATATGTGTTTATTATTGTTAGTTTTTTTTTTTGGTTAATTTAGCTTGTCATTACTGAGTAGTAACTGAGTCAACGATGATGATATTGTTGATACTTTAAAAGTATAATTAAAATTTTTTCTTACACAAAAAAAAAAAAAATAAAGTCATTTATTTATATACGCAAAAATTTTTTATTTGAATGGGAAAAATTATTATATTAATCTTTTTGTGTAATTATTGAAGCATGGTGGACATTCGAATGTTGCACCAATTTTTTATGCCGTGTAACGTAATTTTTAAAGTAAAAAAATTGTGCGCTCAATTAAAATGGGTATACATTGATATGTAACACGTACTGTAACTTTACAGAGATATTCTTTGATTTTTTTTAACTTAATTCCAGCTGCATCCGTCGGCATCCGCAATTTTGACATACTTTACTTAGTACTAACATTTCCAATATGTTATTATGCAGCAGATGTGTAATTTGCAATGAAATTAGAGTAGGCTCCGAAGTATAGAAAAACAAGTAAAGAAACTAAAACTTTTAA